ACTCTCTCTCTCTCTCTCTCTCTCTCTCTCTCTCTCTCTACACACACACACATTTTTGGGACTTTGGGCCCTATCAATGGCACACCTACAGATGCCCAATTTTGCGTCCAACAGCTAAGGGTGATTTGCCAAGATGTCCAGGGTGTTGCCTTGGTTGGCAAGGCAACACCTAGACGGCCGCATCTGCATTTACATCATAGCCATTGTAAGCCCTACCCCAAATAAATTTCCCCTTGATCAAAGTGGTTCATTATATACAGGAAGAAAATTAGATAAAAAACGAAATGAAAAAGACATTTTCTTATAATTACCCCTTAAAGATGCCCAGCAAAATGTAATGTATAACCAATAAGAATTTAAGAATTTATCATGTTTTTCATCATGACATGGTCAAACAAACAAGTTTCATCCACAAGATGGGATATCGAAGAGCAAGAAATCATTAATCATCCATTCAAGAATTAATTGCTGAAAGAGGTAACAAACTTAATTAGGCATACCTGAGGCGCAGGGACACTTCTAGATAGAAGCTTTATCAAATCCCGAGCTTTCACAACAACGTAAGGATCCCTAGTCTTAAGAGTTGTGGAAACGGTCATGGACCCCTCAACCTACATGATAAATACGTTATCATGACAAGCCACAAAAACTAGTCCAAAATGGCAATAAACAAAAGTAAAACATGGAAACCCAACCACACACAAGATATCAAGCTACAGTAAGCAGCAGAAAATTACATCCAGGAAGAATCAGGCTTTAAAACCCCAAAAACAGCCAATATGTTGTGCTGCGCTGAAATTCTAAAGTCCAAGCAAGAAAATGCCATAAGATACAGGTCATCACGGATTGAATATGTTGGTCAGTACCAAAAAGGGATACTGAACCCCAAGAAAGTGAGCAAGAAAAAAATCTAGGGTTTGGGAGACATGGAGAAAAAGCTCCATCACTCTTTATCAAAAAGCTTTGACCCTAATATCCTATCCCTTACCAAAACACAAAAGGACACACTAGTCTTGCTAGAGGGTCACTTTCTTTGGTGAAGAAGACGTGTTGTGGGCCGCTCTTCCGGTCCAAGGCGCTTCTAGAGGTATTTGGGTCCCTTCGAGATCCTACATCTTAACCCAACTCTCAACCAACCTGGGATCCCACTCAGTGTTCATTAATATTTCCAGCTCGCCTTAAGGACTCCAATGGATTTTGGCTAGAACTTGACTAAATCCAATACTCCTCTCATGCCCATGATTTCTAGGTGGCCACTTCGACATCACCAGATGATCCTCCGGGAAAAAGAGGGGGCTGAATCACAGCTAGAATGGAGTGCTTATCCTTATTTGTGAATATGCACAACCTTATAGACATGCCCCTCAATGTTGTCTCATTTAGCTGGTCCAATAATAGAGATAGCCCCATTCTAACAAAATTGGAGAGATTCTTGGTGAACTTGTACTGGGCAGCAGCACACCAGGGGTTTCACTCATAAAATCTACCTCAGCCTGTGTTTGGACCTCATCCCTATCCTGCTAGATACACATCTTGTGTTAACTGGTCTCCATCCCTTCAATGAGTGTGCTAGTTTTCACCTATATGAGGAGCTTCAACTTCTCAAAGAGAAGTTAAAATATGGAACCTAAACCATTTCGGGAAACCATACAACAGAAAAGAATCCATTCTGGTAGAATTAGCTGACCTTGACCTTGTGGATTCCAGACACCTAAATCTTTTAGGGAGAAGCAAAAGAATTGAGATTGAGGCAAAATCCCAAGAAGTTTTGAAGCAAGAGCCAATTTTCTAGCTTCAAAGATCTGAGGTAAAATGGATGACAAAGGGAGAGATGACTCTTTCTTCCATAGAACAGCTAGTTGTAGGACAAGAAGCAATGCTATCCTACACATTAAACATGGGGGAAAGGTATACAAAGACCAAGCTGGCATGTCCTGAGTCATCATTGCCTTCTTGCAAAAGCAATTCTTTGTAGATAGTTCCCGGATACGACACATCTCAAACATTTCCAAAGGATTTTTGAAGAGAGTGCAGCCTGGTTAGAGCAACCTTTTTCCAAAGAAGAAGTTGTCAAGGCCATAACTACTCATGACCGATAGAGCCCTAGGGCGTGATGGGCTTGTTGTAGCTATCTTTCATCAATTCTTGGAATCCATTGGGCCTAACACCATTGTCATGTTCAACAAATTTCATAACAGAGGAGTCATCCAAAAGGAAAAAAATCTACATTAATTGCATTGATCACAACTTGAAGGTGCGGGAGAGATCAAGGTCATGTCGAAGACTAGTCTTCAAGCAGCTCATCTCGAGGACCCAAGCTGCACTTTGCAAGGCCATCAAATCTTGGACAGGGCCCTTATTGCCCATGAAGCATCCACAAAAGATACCATCCAATGTCCAAGGCCCAACACGCAAATTGGACCTCAAGAAACATCATGACCATGTAGATTGCATCATCGACAAGGTGGTGTCTATGAAAGGTTTCGGCAAGGAATGGCGTGAATCAATCAACAGTTGTATCTTTACCACCCTCTTCTCCATCATCATAAATGGATGTCCACAAGATTTCTTCCCAGCCTCCCGAGATGGGTATCAAGGACACTCTCTTTCCCATTTCCCTTTCGTCACTATAAGTCGATGTCTTCATTCAAAATTTCTATGCCAATAGCCTGCTAAAGGGAGTGTCCAATAGCCTAGTATCTTCGTCACCCACTCAACCTCATAAATTACACCAACGATGGAGCAACTCATAGTTACCCAAATCTCTCACTGAAGGTCGTGATTCCGATTCAGAACCCCGCTTCAGCAATTCCGACTAGGAATCTTGACGAAACCTATTTTTGTGAAGTCTGGAATCTCGATTCGTTATTCTAAGAATCTTGATTCCAATACTTATAGAATCTCATTTCCAATATTTACTGATGCCTGACTCCTCAATTTGGTGAATCTCGATTCTACACTTGTTGCAACTGGTTTCCATGACCATGTAGATTCCGTCATTGACAAGGTGGCATCTATGATACGTTTCAGCAAGGAATGGCACGAATCAATTAACAGCCGCATTTTTACCACCCTCTTCTCCATTATCATCAATGGATGTCCACAAGATTTCTTCCTAGCCTCCCGAGATGGGCATCAAGAACACTCTCTTTCCCATTTCCCTTTCGTCACTATAAGTCGATGTCTTCATTCAAATCTCTATGCCAATAGCCAGCTAAAGGGAGTGTCCAATAACCTAGTATCTTCGCCACCCACTCAACCTCATAAATTACACCAACGATGGGGCAACTCATAGTAACCCGAATCTCTCACTGAAGGTCGTGATTCCGATTCGGAACCCCGATTCAGCAATTCCGAGTAGGAATCTTCACGGAACCTATTTCCGTGAAGTCTAGAATCTTGATTCCTTATTTTAAGAATATTGATTCCAACACTTATAGAATCTCATTTCCAGTATTTACTGATTCCCGACTCCTCAATTGGTGAATCTTGATTCTACACTTGTTGCAACAGGTTTCCACATTTACAAGAATTCTACCACTTCCCTTCCCCCAACCCCCCGCCCTCTTCCCTTGTTTTTTTTTCCGAGCAGTGATGCTTAGATCATCTTTTTTAGCATGAAATGACCAACAGAAACCAAAGTAGTGGTCCACGTTCTCTACTTAATTATTTAAATATGCATTGTATTAATCCAATGGAGAAATTGTTATTCCAAGAGGTTAGAAATAATGTAAACATGCATGTATGGAATGTCGGTCAATGAAATGCCATTGAAACATGCATGGTTTCCCTCTCAGTTCCCTCTCGATTCCAAAGATGTCGGAATCTCAATTCCATAAATGAAGGGACCTCGATCCCATATTGGTCAATTCCAACTAGGTCGGAAACTCAATTCCAATGCGCTAGGAGTTTCGATTCCATCTATATAGGGATCTCAATTCCTAAAAATAGGAATCTCATTCCCCACAATTCCTCTTGTACAGACATCAATTCCATAAACAAGAATCGTCCAGCCGGCGGCGATTCTGCCCTTCTGATTCCTAAATTGATTTGGTTTTTGAATGCCTTCCGGTAACTATGGGGCAACTTCCCATCACCAAGTTTTTGCATAACTCACAAAACATTTTTTGTTTTCAATAGTGTTCCTAAGGTGTTCACGAGTCCATCTACAGTTGTACAAATTTTGTTTACATTAAAACCAATAGTTTATAATAAAAAACAATAAAAGGGGCAAGAAAAGAACTTTACAAATCCAAAACATTTTAGTTTGTAGCAGCATTGAGAAAATCTTAAACAAATAAAAGTTGAATCCTCAAGCATACACATCAATAGAGCTCTTGTACTTATAAAGTAGATATTGATTGAGAGGGAAGACAGAAACATCAGCTTAAATTTCAAGGACTTGAATGGTCCATTTATTTAAAACATCCAGTCTACTTGATATGCCATTTGAGGCATGCACTTGTAATGGTGATAAAATAGTAGCACCACATTGAAGCATCTACGCATTTAACATATATACCTAAGGTTATAAGGTACCAAAAAATTTGAATTTATTCAAGAGCATAGGAAAGTATATGTATTTAAAAACAGCTTCTAGAAATCAACACACAACAATACAAAACAATGATTATGAGATGCTACATGTTATCTGAAACGTATAAAAGCTCATTCAAAAACTTACTAGATTAAGCTCACATGCAACACCAGACTCTTTCAATGCACGTTTCACAATGGGCCAAGTCTCTTGTAGGTACTTCTCTGGAAACAGAAAGATAAAAGCAACATGAGGCACCATAAAGTTGTAGCATATTTGGAAGACATCATTTTTTTCTACTCTAGATGATTTGTAGTTTAGATTACGTTATCAAAGGGCAATCCCAAAGAAAGATGACTGAATCTAACAAGTCAAACAATTTGCCAGAGATGAGAGCACATCCAACAAATATTGACATTGACACACTAATAAACCCACCAACCAACCACATTGGAAGTCAGCTGAAAATCGAAAAATATTGAATATTCATCGTCAAGCAGCCTATGAAGATCATAAGAGATATAGAAAAGGGCAAACTTAAACAGAAATCGGCCCTATTAACAATCATCAAGCAATGCTAATATTTACTAATAAGTAAAGGAAGATACATAAATAAGAAAAAAGAAAATAAAAACTTAAAATGTAATTTACTTCAACAGAAAATAAAATATATCAAAATGTAAAATTGCCTAGATAAATTTCAATAGAAGTCAAAGGAAATTCTGAGACATCGAGTGTCAAACAGAGTTACATGCATCAACAGAAATAAAAATATATCAAAATGTAAAATTGCTTATATAAATTTGAATTGAAGTCAAAGGAAATGCTGAGATATCAAGTGTCAAACACCAACTTGAGAGAAGCTTAAAACTTGACTAATATCCTATAAATACTGGGTTTCAACAGTTTTTTTAACATATTTTAATCAAAATCTCGGAAATGTTTCAGCTCTTATTTGAAACTTATTTATTAAAATTTTATTTTCCTGTAGTGAGCTCTTTGCAACCTCCCAAATATTTTAACATTTCTTAAGTTCTCTTATCATCATTTCTCATGGTTTGTCCAAGACTTCAAATCACAAAAATTTCAAAATTTTCAATGTCCTGATTAAATTCCAATAAATGGTAAGCGACTACCATTCAAGTCCATTGCAACCCGTTCAAGAAAATTTCTCAGCAATAAGCACGTTTCCATGTACAACCATGAACACTCGATCAAAACAATAGCATGCTTAAAATATATCATGAACAAAAATATTAATAAATCTTCCATCCATTCTAAAACTTCTAAAAGCACAAGAACAAAATCTAACTCCCAATTCTTAATAATCAATAGAAAAGAACCAAATAATCCAATGCCCTAAAACACATTGAAGGCATGGAAAAACCAGCACAGAAAAACCATATCAACATTGGAAGTTCCCTAAAGTACAATAAGTAAATAAAAACAGAAAAAAAACAAAAAACAACAAAAACAAAAACAAAAAACAAAAAACAAAAACAAAAAAAAAAAACGTAAAATCACGGTTTCTAGCTGCAGCAAAGATCAGAATCCAAGAAAATACAGGAGCAACAGAACACAGAGCAATAGAAAAAACCAGAGCACCTCTATATTGAGGGAACAAGGTGGAGAAGGAGCTAACTTCAAGCATTCCTCCCCCGTTCCATGAAGGATCAAACTTGTCGATTTTCCAGTGATCAATGCTTGGATCATCCCATGGTTTTGGTTTATCGTGTTTCCCCTTGTGCTTCTTCTTCTTCTCCCCAACTAACGTCGCGTCTTCCCCTCCTCCATTGACCTCTGCAGACTCCATGCCTTTGTTATCAGCTTCAAAAATGGCTCTGCAACTTCTCTCACTCTCACTCTCTCCTTATTATCATCAGTTTCAGAAATAAATGGCTTGCAACACCCTCCCTCTCTCGCTCTCGAACTAGTTTAGGGAGGGAGCAGAGGTTCGATGGGCTTTCTAAGACCTAATACGAAAACTAGGTTTGCGAGTTTTCCCATTGGAAAATTGTTTCATGCGGGGCTGGACCGCATTTCTACATTATGCGGTCCAGAGGTATAATAGGTGGTCCAATTAAAAACTAACGGTAACCAACCGTTCAAATGTTTTTTTAATATAATTATTATTTTTAGCTTTCAGAAAAAACTCATGTACATGAAATGCATGTTAAGATTATATATTCGATCAAATTACATTTAAAAAATATATTTATTGCCAAGCGTGCATTTCTGCAATATGCGGCTGGCCCCCATGGAAACCATAATAGAAACCATATCCTTCTTTGTTTCTCATTTGGTTTATGGCTTGTTTCGATGCCGTTAATGTTATCAATTGTTTTATCAGATACTGATATATCTAAGCAGTATGGTTTCTCCTCATTTTTTGAACCAGAGTCGGACAAAGATACCAAAACACTTAGGAAACCTTAACCCCGGATTCATGGCCATGTGGCTTATTCTATCAATTGTTCTTGCCTTATCTTTCTTTCCCCTAGCTATTGAGTTTCTATTCTAAATGTTGCCCATTCTTTTACCTTGTCTTCGCATTTGATCCAGTAGTTCTTAAAGGAAACTTGGGCTTTCATGGTTTTTAAATATGGAAGGGTTCCTGGTTCGCCATGGCCAAGCTCGATAAGCAGGGGGGTACTAAAAACTTTGGGCAAGGAATAATTTTCAGAGGCAAAGGATGAAGCTTTACTCAGAGGGTAGTGAGATCTAGGCTTTTTCTGAAATGAAAATTTTGTTGTTTTTTTTTTTTTCACACATTTTATAGCGCATTTTCTCTATCTTTCAAATTCTCTTGCTATGAAAACTGTGTGAGGATTTATCGCTGTTGAGGAAGTTGTGAGTTCTTTCTCGTAATCTTGTTTCCTAATTAGGATTTTTACTTTATTTTTCTCTCTAGTTCCCGACATTTTGAGGTGACGGCTGCCTGAAGTAAGGGGCTCAAAAATGCCATATTGTTTTACTCTTTGTTGGCTTTGAAGGTCCTCTTTGTATTATTTTCCGTTCCTTCTCTCTGTATATTGATCTTGTGCACTTGGGATTGGGTTTGAAGGATTTGGTAACGTGAAAATTTTAGTATGTTGAATTGGAATTCCATTTTCTTCTCTCGCCCCCTCTCTTGATCTTGATGCATGGGCACTTTCAAATAGATGGGTTAGAATAACACAGAAGACAATGAGGTCTATCCGGTAATCTATCATGCTTTCGACTTTGCAACCCCATGGTATTTACATTTATCTTCAGCGGTTCGGGGTTGTGGAACTATTGTTTTATGTAATCACTCAACATTAATGCATTGAAATTAAGAGATACATCGGATTTGCCAATGAATTTTCAGCTGACTGAAATGATAATAAAGCTATATGATCTAATATATGTGTAAAATAATGATAAACCTCATGGTGCCAAATCAAACAATATTTGAAAGAAAACCCTTAGGTCTTTAAATTCGGTTTAGACGCTCTAGTACGAACCAGAAAGTTGCCTTTCACTAATAGAAATTTTGATGAGGATGCTACTAATAATTAGATGATTTTATTGCCAAAATGCTCCTGAAAAGATTTATATGCAGTAAGCTCGGAGATGTTATTGTTATATTTTGGCTTTTTGTTATATCATCATAGAACATGATGCCCCCTATGTCTATTGCTCAATTTAATGGTTTTCTCTTGTGCCTTTTGTTTGATATTTACTATATAGATGTGGTTATGGGTTCCTTGTTGAAGTAATTTTTCTCTCTAAAGAAGAAACTTTGTCTCTATCACCGACAATATTATTGGTATGATAAAGTATAGGCAATAAACAGTACATCCCAATGTTTTTTATTTTCCTCTATTTTTGGTGAGTGATGAGATTCCTTTTATCGTTAGAGGTTGCACAATAACCAGATTACCATTAATCGGTTTGCAGATTATAGAGACTGAAAATGAAACCAAAGTTGATAACAATGGTGAACTTATAACGACACTGAGTAGTAGAAATGCCCATGATAGCATGGAGATTCAATTGGGGAAGGGAAGAGAAAGCAATGTTGGTTTATAGGCTGATTGCATGGCGAGTGAAAAAGAACCAAGAAGCAACTGAGGATGGTTTTTGTGTTGGATTTGATTAAGCTGCAAGCCAAGCAGGCTTCTATACTGCCTTAGTTTGATGTAATTTATTGGAACTGAGTGTAGAAATAACAACTTTCAATCCATGCCATCTCTAAAGTGCCAGAATTGTTTGTTTTTGTTGTAATTTTGGTATGACAATGTATGTCTAAGAACTGATAATTTCATGTAAGAAAATTTATGGGGAAGGAATAGGTAACTCCATCGATAACGTATTGTTCGACTTGATGCAACCTAAAAAGTAATCCTTTATTGCCAGAGTGGTTATGATAATGATGAGTACAACTCTACGGCGGTTTGGGTATGGGAAAATCTATTATATGACAATCGATGAGAAGTAAATATGACATTTTCAGGATACAATTTATAGTAAGTAAGAGATTACCGATTTCCTCAAAAATCATAAAATATATTACATGCGGTGAAAGGTAAAAAATCTATTATGCGTTTAACGGGTAATATTTAGAAATCTCTCACGTGCATGTCTCTGTACTATCCCAACTTAATAAAATGCCAACCCGCCTACTCAATTTTTTAATAGGTGCTCCCTCCCTCACGCACTAACGCAACTTAATAAAATGCCAACCCGTCTACTCGGTTTGGATAGGTGCTCCCTCACTCTCTAATCCCAGTTTAATAAAATGGTAACATAGGTGCTCACTCCCTCTCTAATCCCAACTTAATAAAATGCTAATGCTAAGCCGCCTACACGGTTTGAATAAGTGCTCCCTCTTTTTCTAAGCTTCGTCCCCTTTTTCTTGAACCTTAATAACTGGTTTGCATCCTCTCTTTTTAAGCTCCTTTTTCTTAAAAATTTCACCCAACATAATAAATTACACAACATAATTATAATAAAAAATTTCACTCAACATAATTCTCATAAGAGATTAGTAAAAATTCAACTGAAATAAGGGACATCTTTAGTTTCCTCCAATACTTCAAATTTTTTACTGCAATTACCAAACTTCCTAGTTTACTAATAAAATAACTTCCCATTTTTTTAATAAGATTTTTAATTTAGTATCATAAATGTATTACTTATTTGAAATTATATAAATAGACATTTGAAAGACTTTTATAATAAATAAATAAAAATAAAGCTTATCACAATAAAAACATATTATTCCAATAACTTATGTTGAAACCAAAGTCTAATCATGCTAGAAGACAAGTGATTCGATGCAAGTGCCAAAGGCATGCAAAATAAATAAGAAATTGTGTGATGATGACTTTAGAATGGTACAAGTTACTATTAGAAAATCTTTTTAGAATGGTGATGATGTTATTATTAGAAATTCTTTTTGGAATGATGTGATGATGACTTTAATTCTGCATTTCAGTGGAATTTTGTGATACAAAAAAAAAAGAAATGATAGTTTATAAGTAAGTGCTGGTAAAATGTTGATAATGCATTTCCCATGTTTCTTCAAGACAGCCAAAACAATAGCCATTTATTTTCCAGGTTTCATCTAAATACTACAGTAACAATCCATTTGTAGGTAATGCATTATGCAGTAATGTATTATATCAATAATATATTTCACAGACAATATATTTCCAGGTATCCAAACGGTCCTTTAGTGTACTTTAAACTACCTCTTCATTCTTTAAGAATACAATGAGCTCTATATTGAACAAGTTCCACTAAAGCCAAACTGAAACTGAAAGTAACTAAAGTAAGTATTTGCATTGGGAAAGCTAATTTGCTTCCGTCCGCGCACTCTCCGATAAAAGAGAATCAAGTCCAGATTTGACTGCTCTCAAATTTTTTGCCCATCTTATTGAGACAAAAAGCTAACACCAAAAAAATCTTACATGCATTAAATTAGCAACCAAAAATCTGTTTACAAAGAAGCTATACAATTTTTTTTCCTTTTTTTCTTGAAATTGTTGAGAAGGAATACTCTAAGTTCAAAAGATTAGGCATCCCACATACTGGATGCTCTATACAAAAAAACTCATAAAGCCAACAAAAGGTGGGTAGCTCAAAAAATGCTATACAGCATATTATGAACATAGATATTATGAAAAGAGATACAGATACAACAAAAGTAAATAATAGGGACCAAGGGTCGAAAAGTTGCGAAAAGGTTCCCAGCATCGCATCCCATGTGATATTAAAAAAATGCGATGGCATGAAAAATGGAGCCAATCATTGATGATCCTCAATCACATTTCCTAACACATGTTACTTATGCTCTCTCAAGTGTTGCTTGTGCTCTCCATATCGACACACCTCTGTTGCCCTTCAGCCACTTCACCTTGGGTGTTCGTCATGCACTAATGGGGGTCACTTGTACACTGCACAAAAATATTAAAAAATAGGGAAACATTTTTATACTTCTTCTATAGCATAGAAGTTATATACTTCGCCCCTCACAAGCCGTCCAATTAGTGAGCCACATACTGTTTGATCTAGATCTACCGCGTCATAGTATTTTATTTATAGTTTTTTTTAAAAAAAAATTTATATGAATATAAAATTTTAGTAGGTGACATCTTTTCAGTGGAGTGCACTTAGAAAAAATATTAAAAAGAACTTTAATAAAATGTAATGACCAAACTACCCCTTGAAACTTTTGAGGGTATTTTGGTTATTTTATTTTATTGAGAATATTGTTTTATACTATTTACAAATAATTTTGGACACTTCTATACCCAGAAACCTTTTTACAAGTGCTCACACACACTATGGATTACTTTATTATTGAACAAATTTTAGACATTTATATACCCTTGTTTTATACATAGAGCAATGGCCAAAAATACACTTATTAAAAAAAGTTCTCTATATACAAAACAAGGGTAAATAAGTGTCCAAATTTTGTTGAGTATAATGATAATTACTGCATGGTGTGAGTACCTTAAC